GTTATTCTTTTATTATTATTATTATTATTATTATTAATATGATCAGGAGACGGGCTTCCCTTTTCATCTGTAATGCGTAGCAGATATTGTTGGGTCTTGTCTTAGTGGTGGAGTATTATGTTGTAGCTTGACTATATGACCACGATTGCTGCTTCTTCTTATGAGACATAGGGAGGGTAAGTTCCCACCTCCAGGAGGGATGTGTAGTCAAAAGGAAAAAGCAGAAGTAATATAAACGCATGGACAGAAATCCACATTGGAGCAGATATGTGGCTTTGGTTAACTTTTTCTGTTCCCTGTCCTACCAGAACCACTGCTGGAGGATCCCAGCTGCTAGCTAGGAGTGGAAGCAGGGGGCTTAGTTGCAGAGACAGATGGGGGATGATGGATGACGTCAAAAAGCCACCACCGACTTTCTCCCACTCTTTCATAACAACCCTATATAGAGCTTCTGAGACTAAATCTTTACAAGAGTAGGCAGCCTTATCTTTTTCCCAGAATGACTGGTGGGTTTGAACCACTGACCTCATCATTATCAGCGGAATGCTTAATCCAGAGCACCACCAAGGCTCCTTACCCCTTAGATAATGCCTCTCATTTCTCCACCCACCTCTCCTGGTAACCATTAATAAACTTTGGATTCTATGCATTTGCCACTTCTGAGTATTTCATGTCATGATTTTCCTCGGTCTGACTTATTTCACTCTGCAAAATGGTTCAAAGTTCATCCATGTCCTAGGATGCATCAGAATTTTGTTTTGCTTCAAGGCTGAATGATATTCCATTATAGATACACGCAGGGAGAAGGGTGGTTCTGTTGGAGAAGCACCAGACTGCAAACCCTAAGTTTGACAACTAGGGCTCACCAGTGCTCCTTGGGAGAAAGATGAGACTCTCTGCTTCCATGAAGATTTATAGCTTTGGAACCCCTATACATGGTTGCTCTGACTTTGAACTGACCCCATGGCACTTAATAACATATGTACACATCACATTTTATGCTCCCATTCTGATGATGAGTTTTGATTTTTATTTCTAAGAGCTCAGTGCCCTTCTTTCACCTCTAAACTAAGGAGCCATTCATTCCCCAAGATGTAAGGGAGGGAAAAGGGGATTCTCATGCAAGCTGTCCAGTGTTGCTCCCAATCAAACTTGCTGCCAAATATCAATTACAGCTTTAAATAACCATCTCTCTGCCTTCCAAAGCTCATGCTGTACCTGTAATGCTTCCTGTTTTACACTCGTTTTCTCACACACTTCGTGCACACTTTCTGAAGAATTGTCAACCTCTTCGATCTCTGAGGATGAAGGACTTTCTACTGTCACGGTCACGGGAAAGTCTGACTGCTTAAAAAAAGGAAACACGCTTGTGTAAGTAATAATACAGCCAAATATCAAACACTGAAGGGCATCTGTCTGGACTATCAAGTCATTATCTATAAATGTCTTTCACTACTTTTTAAGCTCAATCAATAACCAAGTAAAAGGATGTTATCCCATTCTTGCTGTGCTGCCGTTTAGAATGCTGTCTTGCAGCTATGATTACTATTTGGAATTGTTCATATTATTTTACTACATTTCTTTGACATATATACAGCAAGTGAGGAGCCAAGGTAAATTCCCACCCCCACCCCCCGAGATGAACTTGGTAATGCATACATTTAGTTTCAACCATCAGACACAGAGTCTGGAAAAAAAATTTAATTTTTAGTAAGAAATCCCATTAGTAGGGACTGACAAGGGAGAATTATGAGAATAATGAGAAAAGTCAAGGTATCTTAAGCTGTGACAAAAACACAACAGAATTTTCTGTAATAAATATCATATACATAGAAAAGTGAAATGGACCCATTAACAACTTCTCATCTTCAGCCCAAATGAGTATAATAATAATGCAATCCTACTATCAAGTCTCACTGCTACTGATACGTGATTCACCATGGCATTGAAAAACACTTAAAAGACGACCTGGTCAAAATTCCCATACAAATGGAAAGGAAGAGTGCTAAGATTATGTAAATATATAAATGACAAGATACTGGGATAGAAGTTCTACCACAACCAGCAAGCTGCACTATATGAAATCCTAAAAGGTGGGACGGACCAGCATTGGCACATAGCGTGGCCCCCTCTCAATCCCAGTGATGCTATCGTTTACTGAGAAATAACGTTCTACATGGTCACCCAAGACAACTGGGAAGGAGAAACTGAGACTCTAACTAACAAGATTAGCTTATTCTAAGGCTATGGATGAGGCCGTCCACATTGGAGCCCAGTCTCCCTGGTAGGGAGGAAGAGTTACCCTGAGAAAATGGGCATTGGGATTTGTTGCTTTCTTCTGACACCAGTATCTGGAATTTACATAGATGGCCCCAAATTTACATTGCCTGAAAGCATAAGGATAGCTCCATGTGCCACAAGGACCTAGTGTATGTAACATCTATACAATCACACAGCAAGTGGCATTGGGAGAACAACCTGGAAATGCAAAAAGCGCTTAATTCAGGGAGAAAAATGTTTCACATAAGGCCCCCAAATAAAATGACTTTCTACCTACTCCACCCAGATGCCCTAAATATGGTAACTACATACCTGCAAATGATTGTAGACATCACGAGTCTTGATTAATGGAAAACCCCTGAACAGACATGAAGAAACTAAGTTAAGTTTATATGTAAACACAGTCTTTTCCTAATTTAGATCAAGAGTTGCCACAAAAAATGAATTTCCAGAAATCTGTAGTTTATATCTTTAAAAGTGTCAAAATTTTTATTTATCATTTTCGTAGTTGTTGTTAGGCGCCATCGAGTTGGTACTTACCAGATCTTATGCACAACTGAATGGAACACTGCTGCCTGATCCTGCGCTAAGCTCACAATCGTTGCTACACTTGAGCCCACTGCTGCTGCCACTGTGCCAATCCATTTCTTGGGGGACTTCTTTTTTGCTGACCATGACTTTACCAAGCATAATGTCCTTCTCCAGGGATTGGTCCCTCCTCATAATGTATCTGAAGAATGAGAAACAAAGTCTGGTCATTCTGGCTTCTAAGGAGCATCATGGCTGTACTTCTTCCAACACAGATCTGTTTATTCTTTTGGCAGTCCATGGTACATTTTATTCTGAGATCTACTTGATCTCCTCACCATTTGTATCTCTGTTACTATACGTTTCCCTTCTTTCGCTCCAAATCTACTAATTTCAATCTTGTAGTTTTGTTCTGCTCTGGACTCTTGCATCTCTGGACTGAGGTCTGGATGGTGTTGCCACATATGTCAGTCTATGGTTGTTGTCTGGTCTTGTTGGTTCTCAGTTCAAAGAACCCACTTTAGTATATTTTGGTGTGCTGGTTTGGCCTTTACAAAATCCCTTAATTTCTGTTTATTCTTGAATGTTTTTTATTTTGCTATCATATTTGATTGACAGCTTTGTTAGGTATGTGATTCTTGGTTGATAGTTTTTTTCTCCCTGAGTTTTGTATAAATCTCCCCATTGTCTTCTTGCTTGCATGGTATCTGCTGAGTAATCAGAGCTTAATTTTATTTGCTTTCCTTTATACATAACATTTATTTTTCCCCTAGATTCTCTCCTTGCCTTTGGTTTTGGAAAGCTTGATTATGCTACATCTTGATGATTTTCTTTTGTGGTCCATTTACTGTCTTGGATGCTTATCTTCTCCCTCCTCCTTTAAGATGTTAGGAAAATTCTCTTCAGTAGCTTTTTGACTATCTCTTCTGTAGTTCTTTCTTTGTCCCTTCCTGTTCTGGAATTCCAATCAGCCTCAAGTTATTTCTCTTTATGTTGTCCTACATGAATCTTAGGCTTTCTTCAGATTTTTATATTCCTTTTTCTGCTTGTTCTTCTATCTTAACAGTATTGAGAGATTTCTCTTCAAACTCTCTGATTCTGGCTTCCATCTTTTCAATTCTACTCCTTTGCCCTTTCAGAGTGTTTTTCATGTATGATATTTTGGTATTCATCATTTGGACTTCTTTTTGCAGGTTATCAACTCGAACGCTGTTTCAATTTTGGTGGCCTGTCCCTGTAGCACTTTGCTGACTTCCTTATTTTCCTAGGCTTTTCTGTGGAATATTTGGATGCACCTCATTATCATTCTTCTAAATTCCGATTCAGCCAATTCCAGAGTCCCTGCACTCTCTAATACCAATCTTAGCTATTCCTCTTGGTCATTTGTCTGAGCTACTCTGTCTTGCTTCTGCATATGAGCAGATATTTTTCTGCCACTTTTCAATTATTATGGTGCTATTGTATTTGTGTTAATTAGATGAATGCATACTGGTGTATTCTTAAGCACACTTCAAATTGTCTCCTGCTGGGTGTGATCAGGAGATAGACTTCCCTGGTTCTTGCGGCTCCCTTTAGAGTGTTTTTAACACATGTTGGCTGTACACGCTGTTCTGATAATATATAGTAGTTGGTATTGGTTTTTGCCTTATTGGTGGGATTTTACAGGGAGCAAATGTAGCTTAGCTATATGACTGGAATTGCTGTCTCTTGTTAGGTGAGGCATGAATAGAACTCCCACAAAAGTAGGAGGAAAGACAAATTCAGGACTAAATCCCAAAGTCAAACATCATTGAAAAACCATCAAAGATATTTATATAAAGTTATGAGACCCAATAAATTGAGACTTTGGATGTTTCCTGTTTATGCCCTGGGAAAATCCCTGCCCAGGGAAAATCCCTCCCCTGGGCAACTCAGGAGATCAGTGTTAAACGTTCAGCAAGTCATAAACCCATATCAAAAGCTGTGGTCTTTGGTCTTCATTGGTATTTTAAGTCCACTTCACTTTAAGCAAGCAAGAAAGGTTGTATCATTTGCATTTCACAGGTTGTTAATGAGTCTTCCTCCAATCCTGATGCCACATTCAACTTCATATATTCCAGCCTATTGAATTATTTGCTCAGCATACAGATTAAGTAAGTATGGTGAAAGAATACAATCTTGGTGTACCTCTTTCCTAATTTTAAACCATTCAGTGTTCCCTGGTTCTGTTTGCACAACTGCCCCGTGGTCTATGTACAGGTTCCTCACGAGCACAATTAAGTGTTCTGGAATATTCTTTCTCTGCAAAGTTGTCCATCGTTTGTCTTTGTGTAGTCAATAATGCACAGATAAACTTCTTTCTGGTTTTCTCTGCTTTCAGCCAAGATTTATCTGATGTCAGCAATGTTGTCCCTTATTTTACATCCTCATCTGAATCCAGCTTGAAACTCTGGCAGTTCCCCATCAATGCTGCAGGCATTTTGCAATTATCCTTAGCAAAATTTTACTTGCATGTTTTATCAATGATAATGTCTGATGATTCCCACATTGTTGGGTCACTTCTTGTTGAAATGGGCACAAATATAGATCTCTTTAAATCAGCTGGCCAAGCAGCTGTCTTATAAATTTCTTGGCATAGATGAGTGAGTGCCTCCAGTGCCATATCAGTTTGTTGAAAGATTTCAATTTGTATTCCATCAATTCCAGGATCCTTGTTCTTTGTTAATACATTCAGTGTGCACTGGACTTTTTTCCTTCAGTATCACTGGCTCTTGATCATATGCTACCTCTTCAAATGGTTGAACATCGACCATTTCTTCTTGGTACAGTGATTATGTGTATTCCTTTCATCATTTTTGGATGCTTTCTACATCATTCAATATTTTACCCACAGAATCCTTCATTATTCAAGTTACAGCCTGAATCTTCTTCAGCTCCATGAGCTTGGGAAATGCTGAGCATTTTGGTGTTCTAACTTCAGGTTTTTGTACATTTCATTATAATATCTGACTCTGTCTTCTTGAGCTGCCCTTTGAAATTTTCAGTTCAGTTCTTTTACCTCTCATTTTTCCCATTTGCTTCCATATGCTGGACAGCAAGTTTCAGAGCCTTTCTGACATCCATTTTGGTCATTTCTTTTTTTCTTGTTTTTTTAATGACCTTTTGTTTTCTTCCTGTATGATGTTCTTGATGTTATCCCACAACTCCTTTGGTCTTTAGTCATTAGTGTCTAATGCAGCAATCTATTATTGAAATGATCTTTAAATTCAGGTGGGATATGTTCACAGTCATATTTTGGCTCTCATGGACTTGTTTTAATTTGCTTCAGCCTGTGCTCATATATCAATAACTGATGGTTTGTTCCACAGTCTGCTCCAGCCTTGCTTTGGCTGATGATACAGAGCTTGTCCACTATCTCTTTCCACAGAAGAAATCAATTTGATTTCTGGGTATTTCATCTGGTTAGATACTGTAATCACTTCTCTTTCTTGTCCACATAGTCACAACTGAAAACACCGGTTTGTAGATAAGCGTGCATACTAGTTAAGCTCATGGGCTTCCATGTTTTAAAGTGGGTTGTTCTCAGAAGAAAAGCCCCCAGAAACATCCAAACTCTTTGAGATTTTCATTTTCCTGATGCTTCCATCATAGGCAGGAAGACAATGACTTCAAATAAACTCTTTGAAATTTTTAGTTTGTTGTTAAAGAATCCCTGCTAGCGTAGTGGATTATGAGCTAGGCTCCTAACTGCAAGGTCAGTAATTCAAATCTACCAGTGCCTCCACGGGAGAAAGAGGAGGCTTTCTGCTCCCATAAATATTTAGTCTCAGAAATTCTATATTCCACAGAACTTAACAATAATAGCCTCCTGTTAATGACTTTATGCCTTTGAATTGTGGTGTTGGAGGAGAATACTAAAAGTGCCATGGACTGCCAAAAGAACCAATGGATCCGTTTTGGAAGAAGTACAGCCAGAGTGCTCCTTGGAGGCCAAAATGGCTAAACTTCGTCTCTCATACTTTGGACATATTGTCAGGAGGGAACAGTCGCTAGAGAAGGATGTCATGCTGGGTAAGATGGAGGGTCAGAGAAAGAGAGGAAGACTCCCAACGAGATGGATTGGCCAGGTGGCATCATTGATGGCGTCAAGTGTGGCAGCGGTAGTGAGGCTGGCCCAGGATTGGACATTGTTTTGTTCTGCTGTGCATGGGGTCACTATGAGTCGGTTCCGACTCGATGGCACCTCATAACAACAACAATGACTTAAAGACCAGTTGAACAAACTTGTTAGTATTTTATATAATATCAGTATAGACCTCTGTATGCAAATAAGCTGAAAACAAGAATACTCTGTTGGAGAGAAACTGGATGAGAAGCTAGCAGATTGGATCTGTAATAACCCTGGGAACTGCTGAGAGGGTCTGTGCTCAGGATGGTTGGGATTGCCAACTGCTTTAACCTGTGATATGAGTCTTTCTCTAATTTCCTGTGGCCCAGATTGAACTGAATTAAGTGTTTCACGAAGAAGATACGAAATCTCAAAGCCATAAAACTAAAGTGTAAAGATTTGGGCCTCATTTGTACTTCACTCAGAGGTGCTCCTGGATAAGCACTGAACTGCTAATCACAAAGTAAGTGGTTCAAACCCACCACCCACTCCTCACAAACCCCATACAGAGTTGCTATGAGTTGAAACCTACTTGACCACACTTAACAACAACTATCATTCAAAAACATACAGCAGTTAGTTGTCTATTGAAGATGATGTTTATAAAAGTAACACATGCAGCTAACCTGGTATTTTTCCCAGTATCTGCTTCAATTCCTATTTATAATCCATTCTCTTTTAGCTTTCTTAAATTAACTGCTAAATCTCCAGTTTTTTTAATACTATCACTTGAATCATTTGAAAATACTCTGTAGACATTGAATTTGCTTAACAAGTCTAAAATTACAGTACAATTTTAAAAGAAACTTCCTTTGACAAAAAGTAGTGTGAACAGCCCTCTCTTGCGTAAGCAGTTAATAATGTATCTAGCAACTGGTTTGGGTGAGGGCAGTTGACTGAGATGAAGTCTAACACCTGCTTTGCACTGTTCTTTACGCCTAAAATGCTTGGTTCAACTCCATATGCCTCTAATAAAGCTTATCTCAGCCACCCAGGCTCCTCTAGACTCCCACAGGGTTACATGTGTTACACTTGGGAAATTACTTGAAAGTCTCAGTTGTAATTATTTTTTGTTTGTCTTCCTTAAGGGATTCATTAAGTAGAAGCTATGACTGAGTCATAATTTTTTCCCCTATAGAAAGTCACATACAAGACCTCCCACATAAAAGAGGATCCAAAATAAAGAATTCTGATTAACTAAAGACAGAAGAAAACCACTTCTACCTGTTCCTCTTTGCACGCTCTGCAGTACGCCATGGCAGGAAACCAGACACACCAGGTGGGAGAGGTTCGGGAGCATAATATTCTTTAGCAGAGATGTGTTTTCTTCCATTGTTTACAGGCTTCTTTGTAGCCAATCCTATGTTTAAGCAAGAATTAAAAGAAAAAAATCAATGAGGAGGCCTGCAAGGTCTACAGAGCCATGGCCACGAGTGCACACTCTTACAAGAGTACAAATGTGGTAGAAGCTTCCGGTTTCAGCGACAGTAGAGAAAGTCAGGTAGAGAAGTCTCCATGCTGACGGGTCTGGGATCTCACACAGAAGTGCTCACAGAACAACTCCAGAGCTCCGGATCTACCATAAAGTCCAGGATGTCAGTTTCCCGCACTCGCAAATGAAAAAATCACGATATTAAGGAAAATACTGCAAGTTAGGAATCTGGAGACGGGACTTCCTCTGTGGCCACCCCACCCTGGCAGAGTTTTGAGGACGGTGCTATAGCCATTCTGGCTCAGTGAACCGGCTCTAAAAGCGGCGCAGAAACACTTGCAAAAAGAGGTGTGGGAGACTCTACACATTTCTCCCGCATCTTCTCTGTCACGCCTTCTTTGCTCAGCCAGGATGCCATCAGGCAGGTGGATGTGCACCCCTAAAAAACAGTCCTGACCCCGCAATTCTCCCATGGTACAGAGAGAGGGAGCTTGGTGGCCACTAATGACGTCAGCTGTGGAGACACAGCCCTAAGACTGACTTGAGCTAGACCCTTGGTGGCTGCATGCCTTGAAGTCAGTTCCAACTCCAGGTGACCCTGTGCGGGGTTTCCGGGGCTGTGGGTCTTCTGTGGGAGCGAAGCACCTCGCCTTTCTCCCGCGGAGCGGCTGGTGGTTTCGAGCTGCTGACCCTGTGGTTCGCGGCCCCATTCGTGGCCGCTGCGCTACCTGGGCTCTGTGTGCAGGACCCTTATAATACAATCTGTAAAACCCCAACATAAAAGGACTCAGCCATCTCAAGAGAATTGCGCTATGCACATGCAGACACTTAACTGACCTTCAGAGACAAAAATAGTGGACAATCTTTCTCCCATTAACTTCTCAATATCTACCTGCGCACCTCTACTGTAATGACTAGAGAAGGGGCCTGAGCGAGCAGACACCCTCACCCACTGCTGGAGCCTTCTACCTTACATACATACTGCCTGTGTAGCATGGGACAGTCGACCACAGCTTTATTTCTGTTCCATTGTGGTGGTATTTGACTCTGCATTTATACTACTTCTGCTTTTGGTCCTTTTGATCACACATCTTTCCTGGAGGTGGGAGCCTTTTCTCCCTATGTTACCCAAGAAGAGACAGCAATCATGGCAATATAACCACGCTATAAGCATACCCCATAATATTCCACCACTAAGACAAGAGCCAACAACACCTGCTAAGCATTACATGCGAAAAGGGAAGCCTATCTCCTGATCATATTCACCAGGATACACCCAGTAAGCCTAATAACAAACACCAACAAACATTTACTTAAGCATTAAAGACAAAACAAAACAAAATAAAAAAAAGCCACATAACTATTGGAAATGATGAACAAGAAACAACAAATGATATCAAAACATATCCAAAAACAGAAGCGAGTCGCTGAGACAAATGAGCTGGAGACAGACAAGGGCTTTCTAGAAGAGGAAGAGCAGGTTTTGCATATCCCTGAGAAAGAATTCAGAAGAATGATATGGAAACAAACTCATATGCTCCGAAAAGGGGTGGTGGAAAACAAGGTAGAAGTCAGGAAAGTACTACAAGAGCAATCAAATAAGATTGATACAGCATTGGAAACAATTCAAAACCTGCAAAAAAAAAGGTGCAGATGATTAATAGTAAGATATCAGAAATGGACAACACACTGAAAGGGGAAAGGAACAGAACAGAAGAGATGGAAGCCAGAACTAGTGAGCTGGAAGACAAATCTCTCAATACTGCTAAGACAGAAGAGCAAGTGGAAAAAAAGGATAAAAAAATCTGAAGAGCGTCTACGATTCATGCTGGATAACATGAAGAGAAACAACTAAAGAATTACTGGCATTCCGGAACAGGAAGAATCAGAGAAGTCCACAGAGGAGATAGTTGAAGAGCTTCTGGAAGAAAAATTCCCTAACATCTTGAAAGATGAAGTTGAACGTATCCAGGAAAGATAGACCCCAAAAGAAAGTCACCAAGACATAATAATCAAGCTCTCCAAAATCAAAGACAAGGAGAGAATACTAAAAGCGGCCAAGGAGAAGAGAAATGTCACTTATAAAGACAAGCAAATCAGATTAAGCTCTGACTATTCAGAACAAACCATGCAGGCAATGGGGAGATATATACAAAATCCTACAAGAAAAAAACTGCCAACCAAGAATCGTCTATCCAGCAAAACTATCAATCAAATACGATGGTGCGATCAAGACATTCCATGATAAACAGAATCTGAGAGATTTTATGAAAACCAATCCAGCACTTCAAAGCATACTAAAGGGAGTTCTGTGAACTGAAAACCAACAAGAACAGACAACAACCAGATATTGACAGGCGTGGCAACACCACCTGAAACTCAGTCAACAGACAGCAGAGTCCAGAATAGAACAAGACTACAACAACGAACTCAAGGGATCTGGGAGGTCAACCAAAGATCAACATTATATCAATGTCACAGAAGGGACAAACATAGCAGCAGAGATCCAGGTGCTGAGGATGCCAGGTAAATTACAGGATGCAAAAGATTCTCTTAAAGGGAGAGAAAAGTTAGTAGACTATCAGGTAACCCTAAAGAAAGTAAATACTTCACAACTTACCATGAAAACGAACTTCCAAGCAGAGCAAGCAAACATGAAAACTCAGAAGAAACTGACATGAAATAGCATAAAAACCACAAACCCAGTACAAGAAGGTACGCAGAACAAACGAACGAACAGCACTACCAAAAAAGTAACATAATGGCAGCAATTAATCATACCTATTGATAATTACCGCAAGGTCAACAGTTTGAAACTACCAGTTGTTCTGCAGGAGAAAGATGAGGCTTTCTGCTCTTATAAAGATTTACAGCCTCGGAAACCCTGTTCAGGGTCGCTATGGGTAGGAACCGACTCGACGGCACTTAACAACAACAACAACATTGATAATTACATTGAATGTCAATGGATTGAATGCACCAGTGAAGAGACAGAGTGGTAGAATGGATAAGAAAACAATACCCTTCAATATAGTGCCTGCAAGACACAACTTACATACAAAGACAAAAACAACCTAAAAGTTAAAGGATGGGAAAAAATTTACCAAGCTAACTGCAACAATAAACAAGAAGGAGTGGCAATACTAATCTCTGACAAAGTAAACTTTAAGATAAAAACCAGCATACGAGACAAAGAAGGACACTATCTCATGATCAAAGGGCCAATTGAGCAAGATGACATAACCATAATAATCTATGCTCCCAATGAAAGAGCACCAAGATACATGAAGCAAACCTTACTGGAATTGAAAAAAGAAATAGATAAATCTACAATTACAGTGGGAGATTTTAACATGCCACTTTTGAAAAGGGACAGAACCAGAAAGAAACTGACAAAGTTACAGAGGAACTGAACAACACAATCAACTAACTTGATCTCATAGATGTATACAGAGCATTCAATCCAACAACAGCCCAATATACGTCCTTCTACAGTGCGCATGGAACATTTTCTAGAATTGATCATGTATTAGGTCACAAAGCAAGCCTCCATAAAATTACAAACATCAAAATTCTACAGAGCATCTTCTCAGATCACAATGCTATAAAACTAGAAATTAACAATAAGAAGACAAAGGAAATAAAGTCGAATACATGGAAACTGAACAACACCCTGCTGAAAAGCGACTGGGTAAAAGAAAAAATAAAACATGAATTCACAAAGTTCCTAGAAACAAACGAGAATGAAAACACAACATACCAAAATCTTTGGGACACGGTGAAAGTAGTGCTGAGAGGACAATTTATTGTGATAAATGTGCACATCCAAAAAGTAGAAAGAACAAAAATTAACACATTAACACAGCATCTCCAACAACTGGAAGCGGACCAGCAGAGGGAACCTACAGTCACCAAAAGAAAGAAAATAATAAAGATAAGAGAAGATATAAATGAGATGGAAAATCGAAAAACTATAGAAAGAATCAACAGGACAAGAAGCTGGTTCTTTGAAAGGATTAATAAAATTGACAAACCACTGTCAAACCTAACAAAAAAAAAGAGGGCGAGGACACAAATAACATGCATTGGAAACCACATGGGCAATGTCACAACAGACCCAAATGAAATCAAAAGGATAATAACAGAATACTATGAAGAGTTGTACTCCAATAAATTAAAAAACCTACAAGAGATGGATATATTTCTAGAAAAACATGACCTACCTAAACTTACCCAGAATGAAGTAGAAAGCTTAAACAAACCCATAACAAAAGTAGAAATTGATCAGGTCATCAAAAAACTCCCAACCAATAGAAGTCCAGGCCCAGATGGCTTCACGGGTGAAGGAGACAAAACAGATTAGTGGGACATACGAAAAATAAAAAACTTATGTGCATCAAAAGACTTTACCAAAAGAGTGAAACCGGAACCCACAGAATGAGTAAAAATCTTTGGCAACAACACATCAGATAAGGGACTCTTTCAAAAATATAGAGGAAACTATAACACCTGTACAAGAAAAAAAACAAATAACCGAATAAAAAAATGGGCACAGGACATGAACAGACACTTCACCAAGGAGGAGATCTGGGCAGCTAACAAACACATGAAGAAATGTTCACGATCACTAGCCATTAGAGAAATGTAAATCAAAACAACAATGAGGTATCATCTCACACCAGCAAGAACAGCAAAGATCAAAAAGCAGAGGACAACAAATGCTAGTGAGGATACGGAAAGCCTGGGACCCTCCTACATGGTCGGTGGGAATGCAAAATGGTCCAACCACTCTGGAAAGCAATATGGCGCTTCCTCAGAAGGCTGGAAATAGAAATACCTTATGACCCAGCAATTCCTCTACTTGGTATTTACCCACAAGAAATATGAGCCATAACACACATAGATATATGCACACCAATGTTTATAGCAGCACTGTTCACAATAGCAAAAAAAATGGAGACAACCAAAATGCCCGTCAATTGAAGAATGGATAAACAAACTGCGGTACACGCACACAATGGAATACTGTATATGCTACCTTGAAGAACAAGGAAGCTGCAAGCCATCGTATATGTGGATGAACCTTGAGGACATTATGCTAAGTGAAATTAGTTAGTCACAAAAGGAGAAATACTGCATAAGACCATTATTGTAAAGGACTAAGAAAAATAACCCACTAAAAGGGGGTGGGTGGGGGTGGGAATCAATATATATATAATTGCTGATCACCAGAATGTATACGATGAGAGGAGGGTAGGGAATAGACATAGGAGAGCCTGAGTGCTGGGAGGGGTAAGGGGGACTGGCAATACACAACAAGGGGGAGGAAAAAAGAAGAACAAGGCAGACAGGAGAATGGTTGGGCAGATTTGCATTGGCTAGATGGGACAGAGGTAAATGACGATGTATGCACAACCTTGGAATAACAGGGTTTCAGGATACAGGGATAGAGGCATGGCTTGAAAGGGGAAAAGAGGTGAATAATGTTAGGATGCTTGGCTTTCTTTTGAATCTTGGTTTCCCTTGTCTACCATTGTGAAATAGACATTTGAGGAGGGGTGGGGGGAATAGCCAGAAACATAACAACAGAAAACATGTAAGCCCATCTTCAGCCTATAACTTACTGAAATACCTTGAGGGGAGCTAGAAATTGTCCAGACCCAAAATGGCAAACCTCCTAAGACTAAGAGCCAATGGGAATACACGCTCTGATTGGTGGCCACGTTCCTCACCGATAAGTGGAAGTGAGGGAAAAGCAGCAATGAAGCTGCGAGCTAAGCCCTACACCATTTAATAGACTTGTGAACCCGGGTGGAAACCTGGTTGGACAGCAGTGTGGCAAGACCTGGGGACTCTTGCGCCCAGAGTCAGTGACATAGCCACAGAGGACTAAAGTAGAGAGTGAAGCGTCCAGCTGATAAGAAGAGAGGGCACATGTATAACTACACCCGCACTTGCAGATAATACCCAGTTGACCTGGCTTTAATGGTTGGATGATCAGAGCTCAATTAGAAGAAAGAAGAGGAAAAAAAGAATAACCTGACAATATGATGAACTTGACCTACACCTATGGAAGCAGTAGCTCAAAAGTGGGAACAAATCTTCGCAGCCAAGAATCATTCCCACCCCTCCACACACGGAGAAGACAGGAATGGGCAACTGGGACATTGGCTACCCAGAATGGGGGTGCTACAGAGGCAAGAAGTGTCTGGCTTATAAGCTTTCAAGAGGGAACCTAGATTCAGAGGGCGTGAAGCAAGGTAGAATCTCCACTGAGTAATATCCAATCTGTCTAGGCAGGGCCAAGGAAAGGAGATATGGATAAGTCTCTTGCGATAGAGTGGTGAATAATTGTTATCAGGACTGATTGTGAGGGCTGGAAATGTAAAGGCAGACGTTTTGTAGCCAAAGGAGTGGAGGGATTAACTTTGCAGTCTAGGTGCAGAGGTCCCTGGGACCATCAAGGAAGAAGAGTGGAGAACGGAACCTTACCCTGAGAAGCAGTGACTCCAGAGATGGAGGCAGAGACAACAATGTGGAGAAATGGAGAGGCTAGGGACCTTGGACCCGGAGAGGGAGAGGGGCTATGTGCTGACGAGCAGGGGGCAGGCTTTGGGGTACACCCTGTGGTTGGTGAATGATGCATGGAGGGCATTGTAACCATGGCAAGGAAACGATAAACGATGGGATCAATTTGAAGCTAATGTTCTCCCATGTAAACTATCACATAACTCACAATAAAGCATTAATGCAGTAGCTCAAAAGAGGAAACAAATCCCTGCTCCAAGAACTATTCCCACCTCCTCCACACAAAGGGTAGACAGGGATGGGCAACTTGGACATTGGCTACCCAAAGTGGGGGAAGGGATACAAAGGCAAGAAGTGACTGGCTTACAAGCTTTCAAGAGGGAACCTAGATCCAAAGGGTGTGGAGGAAGGTAGCGTTTCCAGTGAATAATGTCCAGCCTGTCCAGGAAGGGCTGATGAAACGAAATACAGATGGGTCTCTTGTGATGCAATGGTGAATAATTGTTATCAGGACTGATTGTGAGGGTTGGAAATTTAAAGATGGACATTTTGTAGCAAAGAGGGGAGTGATTAACTTATCAGTTTAGGAGCAGAGGACCCTGGGATCATCGATGGAGAAGAACGAAGAGCAGAATCCTACCCAGAGAGGCGGTGAGGCCTGAGATGAAGGCAGAGAAGACGACATCAAGAGATGGTGTGGCTGGGGACTCGGATTGGAGATGGAAAGGGACTGAGGACTGTGGCAGTGGTGGTGGGGGCTGGTTTCAGGCTTATAGGGTACACCCCTTGGTTGGGTGAGGATGCATGGATGGGATGGTAACTATGCCAATGAAATGGATAATGGAATGAATGTAAAGCTGATGTTCTCCCATGTAGACTATCACACAATTCACAATAAAACATTAAATAAATAAATAAAAAGAGTACAAACGTGCCCCTGACAATGATGCCAGGGCCATCAAAAACAGGACCACTTTGTACAAATGCAGACAGGGCAGGAATGGTTGAGAAATAAGTTTTCTAAGCAACAAGCTATCATTTTAAGTAAATATAAGCTGAGTACAATGAGATGTGTAGAACATGTAATAGTAAATAAAAACTATGATTCAGATTGGAAGACTGTACATACTTTTCATTATGAATCATCTCAATTTAAGATTAATTTTTCTCTGTACAATCCACTAAAGGTGTTAAGAGTGAAGCTTGCTGGGTAGGAGGTGGGATGACGCTACACTCCTGTGAGTCTGTAGCTCTTCATACCCAGACTGAAATCTGCAGAATTATCCTACTGAAAAAGCATCTTTATATGAAACGTTTGGTAGGAAAGCACGCCTACAATATTTAGAACAAATCATATGAACAAAAGTATTAAAATTCACATCTACTTTTCTCTATTGTGAGGACTTTAAGTGAAAAAGGTACATTAAAATGGTTATTGTCCCTGGGGCAGTGTAGATAGTTAATGCACTCCATTGCTAACCAAATGGTTGGAGGTTGGAGCAGAGGTGTCTTGGAAGAAAGGCCTGGTAATCCACTGAAAAATTAGCTACCGAAAAGCTGAAAAAGCATAAGGGGTTGCCATGACTCAATATCCACTCAACAGCACCTGGACTGGATCCATCCTTCAAATGTATTTTATCACTCAAGATCTATTTTAGAAGTACACCGACTTCTCACTTATCAACGATCTCATTATCCAACACTTCACATTTACGACAATAATAAAAAGCCTACCATCTATTTTGCATATTAATGATGTATGCCTGGCAGTAATGAATTCTGAGCTTCCTGACTGGTGGACCCTATGTGCACACAGAAAGGAAGTTCGTATTGCATAGTATTTCACCACCAGGGAGAGGAGAAGGGAGTCTCCAGGAGCACAGAGGAACTGGTCAGAGTGGAAGGGTCCTGAAGCGGAGCCATCAGGGACAGAACACTGCCCAGTGAGGCCTGGATACCAACAGAACGCTGAGGTTGGGGCAGCAGCAGCTGTTGTCCTGAGGATGGGATGCTCTTGGGCTCAGAAAGAAGCAAAAGTCCAGGGTCTGTCCTCAGCACCCAGCACTAAGGGGCAAGAAGGATGGGCCAGGACATGGTCAGGAAATGTCCTGAGAAAGGGCAATCAGGTGCCTCAGCTGACCAGCACTAACCCCTTTCTCAATGCTCCTTTCCTGGGTGGGCACAGATGAGGGGTGGACACCTGGGTAGGGATGGGGTCAGTTGGCAGTTACAGTTTAAAGATAAAGGCAAATCCAAGTCTGGCCATCACGGCCTCAAGAGGAAGCACTGGATTGTCAATTCTTGTAGGGACATGGGGGTGGAGAAGAGCAGGGCCACCCAAGTCAAACGCCCCTGGCAAAGACAGCCAGGCATTCTGGGGTTGTTAGGGGATGAGTTGGAGTTCTGATGTGGCGCCATAGGATAATAAGCACTGGAATGCAAGGATGGTTTGAACCACAAGGTCGGTGGTTCAAACTCACCAGCTACTCCTCAGGAACCCTATACAGGGTTGCTGAGTTGGAACCAACTTCATGGCACTTAATAACAACCAGAATAACAAAAAGATGTATTAGAAAGGCATGCAAAATGAAATGAATATGGTTAAGACAGCACATGTATTTCATAAAGTATAACTTAATAACAATCACTGAATACTCCTGTAGGATTTTTTCTGGATAAATTTACATGCTTCTTAGGAGCTCGAATCATCTTGCGCTGTTTTCCAAGCTTTTGGTAATGTATTCACAATTCAGTTTTAGAGTCTCTGGACTTACAAGACATAAGGAGGAAATAACCAGCTGGTTCAGTAAACATTCATTTCAAAGAACAGTAAACTAAGCAAGGATGACTCTAAAATTTCTAGTTCACAAGACGTATTATGCAAACAAATACCAAGTTTTGCTTAAACAAAAATACCTTCAACCATATAACATTTAAAAAGCTTAACAGGACCATTTCCATATTCTTTCTGAAAACTTGTATAGTAAGAATGGTAATTCAAGAATATTCTAGATGTTCTCACTAGCCATTACTTATGGTATATGAAAATATACCATTAAAAACAGAAGCAAAAAAGAAAAGATTTTACAACTACCTTGTGAAGAGAAGAAAAAACTCTCTCAATAAAAGTTGCTATCGTCTTTGTGTACACATAAGTACAATATGAATATGACATGGTTTGCATAAATAATTTAACTCCTGTAGTCATCAAAATCTAACTATACAGCCAGACTCTGATTTCAATGACCTCTATGTGTCTTGGTGTGGCGCTGTAGGATAAGCACTGACTTGTTAACCACAAAGTCAGCAGTTCAAATCCACCAGCTGCTCCTTAGAAACTCAATACAGGATTGTTATGAGTTATAAGCAACAACAAAAGTGCATTCAAATGACAGAGTCTAAGAAATAAAATATACATTTAAGAGCAAAACTCACTGAGCTTATAAACTTCAGTTACATTTCCATTTTGCTTATTCATGCTAAAAAAAAAACCATTTAAAATTGTTTTTATTATAGCCCATGATGGCCTGCTATACCTAGTTGTTAAGTGCCATAGAGTCCATTTCGACCCATAGCAACCCTGTATAGGGTTTCCAAGGAGCAGCTGGTGAGCTTGAACCACCGACCTTGCAGTTCAAACAACTTTGCAGTCTGATGCATTAGCCCACAGTGCCATACCAGGACTCCTATACATTACTAGGTACTAAAATCACAGAATTTCTAGTATGTTCCTAATAACCATATGTGGAAATACCAATTTAGAAACTTTAAAAAATGTTTTGCATAAGATACAAAGCTTTAATAATTAGTTTGAAATCACAAATGTCAGTTTCTACCTTGTATGTACTATTTGGTTGTTTACTAAAATGGCAGTTTTGAAATAAAAATAATAACAAACAACCTCTCATTATTTAATAACAAATTATCTTTACCACTACTTGGCAATTGACCCAATAAATTGAATTGATTACTTGTGAATCAAAACCACAATCCTTTAACAATAAAGAAGTTACATTTACTAAGATGTTTATAGTAATATTAAAAAGTTATTTGCTATTCAAGTTATTTCCAATTTGTTACTAATTTTCAAAATTGACCCATTAATTCAGTGAAACCTTACAAATGCATGAAAAAGTATAACTAAAATCCTATAAAATGTTTTAAATTTTAAATGAAGTAAACAAAGAAGAGAAAAGGAAAATATAAATGCTTCTTGAATAAATGATAGGATTGGAGGTGGTTTCTATTATTTCCATTATTATTGTTAATACACCTTTTTTATTTAATCCTAAATGAAAATGTTTAAAGAACACATTTTAATAAATTCAGGTAGTTTCCAGACTAAAGACTATCTGTTGCTAATTGTTTGGTGATCTTTGCTATATAACTAACTAATCTTACTGCTGACTTTCTATGGGAAATTGTTATTGCTGTGTGCTATGAAGTTGGTTCTGACTCAAAACCACTCTGTATAGGGTTTCCAAGGAAAAACTACTAGCTTTTCAGTTAGCGGTCCAGTATTTATTCTACAGCACCACACTATTGTTGTTGCTGTGAAGTGCCGTGGAGTCAGTTCCGACACACAGCGACCCCGTATAGGGTTTTTGAGGAGCAGCTGGTAAGCTTGAACCTCTGACCCTGCAGTTGGCGCATTAACCCACAGCGCCACATCAGGACTCCACAGCACCACACTAGTAGGCTAAAAATTTATTTTGTGTCCTTGATATTATTCCTTAGGAGTCCTGGTGGCACAGTGGTTAAGCATTAAGCTATTAACTGAAAGGCTGGCTTAGAAACCACCAGTACTCCACGGGAGAAAAATCAGGCAGTTGACTTCTGCAAAGATCTAGTCTCAAAAACACTGTAAGATGGGTCTACCTGGTCCTAGAAGGTTGCTATGAGTTGAGATCAACTCAAAGGTAATAGGTTTAGTTTATGCTACTCCTTATAATTATACTGTTCATCAGTTCCATATTAGATTTGGCTTAATTTATTCCACTATGCCATTCAGTCTTATATAAAAAACCTTATTTGTGAGATTAAAGGAGTGTTATAGAAAACAAAAGTTACGATCTCTTTAGGACCAATTCAAAAACAGCAGCAAAAGTGAGGATATAAAATTTATATATGCAATATTAATTATGTTGCTGATTGTTTAAATGTTTTATATACATTATTTGTTTTTTCATTAAATTTGATCATAAAACTATAGGCTTGGTTTAAAAATTCTAGATTAACTACTATTTGGAAAATCTAATACATATTATGTAACAAACAGCAAGAGAATGTTTTTCTGTTCCAAACTTTAAACTTGCTCATAGTATTTTTTTCTGCTTATACATATTATAAAAAAACTTACAACTTGGGGTAAAAATTTGCAAGGAAGAAAAATGGAACAAGAAAAAAATAGGAAACAGAATTTTATTTTCTACTGAATGGAAGAATAATTCATTTAAAAGGAAACATCATTCAAAAGCACAACTGCTAATGAGTTGTCATTCAAGCACACCCCAAAATACTATAATCAACCAGGAAGCTTCCTCAAAACGAACTCTTTATGATATACACAAAAAAGGTGGCAATAAAAATTTTTTTTACAAGATTAGCATTTGTTTCCTAATAATTCGTTTATGATGTCTATTTTCCATAAATTCTCATAATCTGTTAAAACAATTATGTTATTCAGTATTGTTTAGTCAAGTCAGTTCTGACTTACAAAGACCTTGTATAGAGTTTGAACCCCCAACCTTGCAGTTAGCAGTCTAATGCTTATGCTACAGTGCCACACCAGGATTCCTGAAATAATGATAGTGTTCATAATATGTATGAAGGCAACACTGGTTGTTACCTTCAATCTTTACAATGAGAAGAGATTGTAATTTTATTACACTTGAACACATGAAAGGTGTGAGTTTCAATAACACTAAAAAGACAAGACAGAAAAGGTTACCAATTCGAATAGTAGCTTTTCCTTTTCTACCACTTCCAAGAATGATAGTTCTCTTTTTCTGTTTAGCAGTTTTAGATGGTTCCTTTACTGATGGAGAAGTTATCCACTGGTACTGGAAAAGAGATGATAAATATTCCATTTCAGTAACTGGTCCTTTATGAGCATTTCATTTTACTTAGATATTTTAAGACATTAAAAGGTTTGTGATCTGCATTTCTGTGAAGCTAGATTAAAGAATCATATGATATTTTCAAAGCCAAAAGAGTCAAACAATTTGACTGAAACTTTAAAATGGCAGAAAAATGCCTCAAAAATTTTATATTATTAAAAAGAAAAGCAGGCAATTAAAGAGAAATTCTTCTGAGGATATTCAAACATGTTATACCTCTGACTTAGCACTCCTTCCATTCTGGAGAACCTTTTTGATAACTGCTTTCATGACAGAATGATCTAAAGTAAAATGAAAACAAAAATTACAACAATTGTATTCCAATGAGTAGGTCATTAAAAAAAAAAACAACTAATTATTGCTAGTCCTATAAAAATGAAACATCAAATTTGCATTATTACATGCCTATTTCTCCTCTGAATATTCTAACTTCTTCCACAAAAACAAGATGAAAGCATGCCAACTCACATATTGCCTCTAATAGTTATATTTGGTGGCAGAGAAGACCAAATTTGCAAACTTTGGATCTAGTAGTCTTTGGACACAGTTGTATAGAAAGCATTATTCAGACACTTAAATACTTAATTGTATCTTAAAGTTAATAGCGTCAAACCCAAATCTTGATACCCTCTCAATGTTGTGCCTCCCACAGCCTCCTGTTCTCAGTGATGGTACCACCAGTTGCGTATATATAATTATCTATCTAGAACTTTTTCTCTCATTATTCCTTCCTTTACATTCTACATCTAACCAATCTGCTCATCCTGTCAGCTATATCCCCAAAACATAATCTTTATTCAACGACTTTTCTTATACCTCCAACCTTCTAACTCAGTCTAAGCCACTACCATTTCTCACTTGCAAACAATCTCCTTTCTGTAGTTGTTGTCAAGTGCCATTGAGCTGGTTCAGACTCACAGCGACCGAGTATAGGGTATCCGAGGCTTTTTAAGTCTTTGCAGGAGCAGAAAGCCTCACCTTTCTCCTGCAGAGTGGCTCGTGGGCTCGAACTGCTGACCTTGTGGTTCACAGTTGAGGGCTTATCCTACAGAGCCACTGTGCTCCCTGGTAGTCTCCTGTTGCTAAATACCGTCTAGTCAGTCCGACTCATAACAATACCTTCTGTCTCCTTACTTATGGTATTCTTATACTTTCTAAAATTTATTTTTGTTTACTTATTTATACGTGCACTCTTTCACTAGAATGTAACTTCCAGGAGAGAGAGACTTTGTTGATATAAGCACTGGACTGCTGACCACAAGGTTAGCAGTTCGCAAGGTCGGTTTGAATCTCAAGGTGAGTGGTTTAAACTCACCAGTCATTCCTTGGAAACCCATACAGGGTTACTATGAGTCAGAACTGACTCCATGGCACTTAACAACAACAACAACAACACACACCCTTCTATACGCCAAATATTGGATTTGCTTTCGTTAAGTGTTGTTGAGTAGGTTACAACTCATAGCAACCCCTGTACATCTTTGCAAGAGTATAAAACCTCAACTTTCTCCCATGGAGCAGCGGATGACCTGCTGGTTCACAGTCCAGTGCTTAGTGTAGAGTCACCTTGCTCATTTGTATCTATATGATATATACATGCTTGTTAAATTAACGAGTGAAATGCTCTTTCTGAGAACTCAGGGTTCATGAGAAGAAATTACTGTTCTTGGTGGAAGCAAGTGAATTATCTATGTTCACCTCTATTCAGAGCAGCAACCAAGAACAATTAATAAGTACAGACGATTTTAATCAGTAAATTAGCTATTAAATACAAGATCAAAAAATCATAAAACTAGGGAAATATATAAGTTTTAAAACTTGCCAATACATAATCAAATTCTTTGTTTTACTATCTGTTAATCAATGAAAAACAAACGCAGTGACATACCAATCAGTGGATTTTTTCTTATATCCAGAATGACCAAAGTTCGGTTGGTTTCGAGGGCCTTTACAAAAGCACTGGCTCCTTCACTGGTGAGGCCACACTGCTGCAGGTCGAGTGCTTATGACAAAAGACCAACGGTCACTGGCCAGCTACACACAACAGCAACATACACACAACTCTGACTTTTACATGCATGAAAGATGGCTGTAGAACACTAGTCATGGCAGCAGGTTTTAAATTTCAGAGATTGAAAAAACTGAACACAAAAACATACGTACACATATTATTGAATACTCAATGAAGACAACTCTTCTTGGGCATGTCCTGATTATCTTCTCTAATTTTAGAGTACCATTCAGTCACCCATCATATTTCATAGTTACAGTGTCAAAGAGCCAATAGCTGCACATAACCCACTACAGAGCACCACCGAAGAGAAGCTCAGCTCACACTTAGCAAAGATGCTGGTGTCCGTACAAATCTCACCAGCTAAACCTGGGTGGAGCGCACAAACTGTACTGTTGCATTCTTTTGATCATGATTCCAAACTACACAACTCTCAAAATATTGCACCAAAGAATGAAAAATTATAGAAAAATAAGTGCTATTTTTATTAAGTGTCATCAAGTCAGTTCTGACTCATATTGACTCTGTATAGGGTTTCCAAGTTAGTGAATTTGAACTGCTGACCTTGGGGTTCCAACCAACCTTGTGGTCTAGTACTTATCCTATAGCAAGCACCACACCAGGATGCAAATAATCCCAACACCAAAGATGTGCAAACAGAATATATGCTGAAAATTGATAACAGAAGTCTGATGGTGAAGAACTGTCTTGATAAAACTTCAGACAAAGAACAGGACAGAGATCATAAACACGAACAGCAGTGAGTTGAAATGCCTAACTTATTTAAATTAAAGGGATCTCCAGAAAAGCACAAGTGTAAAAAGGGCCCATCACAGGAAAAGACCATGAACCTTTTTAAAAGCAATACTGATACAGACTATTACTTTAAAACAATGGAAGCCTTTTAAGATTCCAGAAATGACAGCCAGAAATAAAATAAATAGATACATGGATCTGACAAAACATGATGAAACCTTTACACATTACTGCCACAGAAAAATGGGTATAGGATAGGATTAAGCAGTTAATCAAATCAATCAAAAATAGCAAGTTTAAGTCTCATCAGTAAATCCAGTGAGTACAAAGTAAAACAATGAAATGTGATTGCTTCTGCATCACAGCAGGCCAACGTCGTACAAGGCTGTCAACAAGTATTGCTACTAGGGTTCCAGTTCAGACACGCCTGGGTTTATTCCAAACAACATGTGTTTAAAGAGGCCTCTGCAATCAGTGGGGGGTTGCAGATAAGTTCTGCACTTATATACCTGTCTTCATCTAGTTAGGGTGCCTTCCAAAAACACAAAAGGTCCAATATCAAAATAGTGGCTTCTGAGGGGATCTGCTGGTCATTAAAACTCAAGGCAGAGGTATCAGTTCAGAAGATTAACAACTAACTGCCATTAGATTTTAAAGGGGTGATCTTGACAGGTTTTCTTGAAGAACTCAGGACAATCAGGGGGACTTACTAGGAAGCAGTTTTAAGAAAACGGGAAACTGCACTGGTAGAGAAGAAGGCCAAGGAAATTGTGTCAAGGAGTTTTTTCCATCACAACTATATATCTGCTCATTCTCTGAAGGTATTAAAGGCTGCCCTGTGAGAATTCTGATAAGATATCTTACTACATATACTCCAGCCCTGATCCTGCCCCTTTCTACTTCCTTTTGTTCCCCAAACTCATGGAATGGTTAAGTGGAACACAATTTGAGTTCTTGGAGGATGACAAAACTGCTGTTTGGACATGATGTAAATATAGGGCATAGAATTTGGGTTTTTTTTTTTGGGGGGGGGGGAGGGTGGTGTAGCAATACTTTTTGACTTACAACAAAAGCCTTTCAAAAGTACATAGCCTTTTGATCCAGCAACTCACTATCTAAGATTTTGATCTAAAGAAATACAGATGTGAGAAAGGATGTGTATCAAAGTACTGTGAAACAGTTTATATACCCAACAAGTCTGAATGAACTAAGTGTACTAGAGTAAACCATATTTGTTGTTGTTAAGTGCTGTGAGTTGGCTGACTCATGGCAATCATGGTGATGTGCTGTGGAGTTGGTTTTGACTCATAGCAACCCAGGGTAGGTTTTCTGAGACTGTAAATCTTTCTCCCTCAGTATGGCTAGTAATTTCAAACTGCTAAGCTTGAGATTAGCAGCCAGACTTGTAACCACTACACCGTCAGAGCTCCTTGGTCTGACTCATAGTGACTCTGCATAGGGTTTCCAAGGTTGTAAATCTCTGCAGGAGCAGAAAGCCTCATCTTTCTCCTGTGGAGCAGCAGGACAGCTGGTGGACTTGAACTGTCGATCTTGTGGTTGGCAGTCCAGTGTTTAATCTCTAAATCTAAAGCCACTGAGCTCCTGGTATATTCATATAATTAACCATTAAAAAGTCACCAAAAATGATGTTAGCTGCAAGTTTCTTGACGTAACATGTGTATGCTATATGAAAAGAGCTATACATTTTAAAGAGTAATCCCACTTTTATTAATAAACAGACAAAAACAGATTACTTCCTCCCCTCTTTTAAAAACGCACAAAGGAATGCTGAAGGAAATACACCCTAGACCAAAATGGTGATGCCCTTTGTTTCTGGATGGAGAAACTAGAGATGTTTCATGTATTTTCTAGTTTGCTACAATGGCTTTTGGTCAATATTAAAGCTTTAAAAGGTGACACAAGCCCACGGTGATGAGGGTCTTGCACACCATGAGCCTAGTGTGAACTATAAAATGGCACAGCATTTCAGGAAGATGATTTGGCAATGCACATCAAAAGGGTTAACACATGTTTTACTGAGTATTCTACTTAATTATTTACCCTTTGGAAGTAATCTAGGTGAGCAAAGAAACATATATACAAGATGTTTACTAACAATTGTCTACATCAGGGGAGATGTACACCACCTCCATTATCAGACAGCATGGGAAGGATTATGTAAACCATTGCTGAACAATATAATGGAACACTATATTATGCACTGGTGTGGCACTATGGGTTAATGCGCTGGATTACAAAGTGGGTTTGAACCGCAAGGTCGGTGGTTCAAGCTTACCAGCTGTTCCTTGGAAACTCTATACAGGGTCGGTATGGGTCAGAACCGACTCACAAGGTCAGTGGCTTAAGCTCACCAGCCACTCCTTGGAAATTCTATACAGGGTCAATATGAGTCAGAACCAACTCGATGGCACTTAACAACATTAAGCACTGGAGTCCTGGACTGCTAACTGCAAGGCTGATGGTTCAAACCCATAAGCTGCTCAGCGGGCACCATATACAGGTTTTTTATGAGTCCAAACCAACTCATATCGATCCTGTATAGGGTTTCCAAGGAGCAGCTGGTGGGTTTGAACAACCAAACTGTGGTTCATACTCCACCACTGATCCTACAGATCTTGGATATCCTGTACAGAGTCACGATGTGTCCGAATAGGCTAGATGACACTTAACAACATTATGCACCATTACATGAAAAGCAGGACTATTCAATAGTGAGTACACTATGATTCGTTTTTTTCTAATTTCTAGGTGTACAAATATATTTATGGTAATAAGAAAAAGAAGACTGATAGTAAAATCTACCTAAATGAACAGTGATTATCTCTGGGTGTTAAGACTATGGATGGTCATAGAGGAACATATGTGAACTTTCATAAAAGCTACAAAACAAAATAAAAACTAATGGGGAATAAAGAAATAAGCTTTAATATCTTAAGACAACACTACTGTACCCCCAAATAAGCATATTTAATATAAAAAATTCAGGGTTTTCAATTCCAGAAGTTGGTTTAACTTACCTCTAAGCCATAAATCTTCACTAAGAGAGTCTGCAAAAGCCCGTGCACCAAGGTCACCGACGAGCGTGTTGCAATTGAAGGTGACGCGCCTTAAGCCGGCCATGCAGTCGAGATCAGGCCTCCTATAACGAAGGCTCTCGGCCCAGGTCTCCTCATGCCTTCTCATGGTCTGATACTTCAGATTAAATACGGTGAAATTCAAATGCTTGAGTAAGGAAACTGTTATGCCTACCAAACCAAAAGCGCGTCAATTCTGACTGGTGGCAACCCCGTGTTTTTCAGAGTAGAAGAGCTGTGCTCGACAAGGTTTTATGGCTATAGGTTTGGCTTATTACGTTAGAAAGGTATATCCACATTCTAACCACAGATGCCAGGCATGTTCACATAAGAGAACCAACAACAGAGTCTGCTTTAGGAGCCAAATAGCCCTGATTCTAGTCTAATTGATGACCACTGGGTCACTGATTAGCTTAAACTTTGACAACTCAATTCACTTCTATGAATCTAATTGTCCTTACTTGCTAAGTTATAGAAGTGGCTTTGACTCCTATTATGGCTAGGTCTCCATTTAAATTCTATCATTCTGTCCTTGGATGGTCTCCACACATTTTTGACCAAGCAACCCACAAATAAGCGTTTTTTGCACATGTTTCTTACTTATTAATAAATTATAAACATGAAGTTCTGTACAGATATTGTATGTTGTTGTTAAATGTCATCGAGTCAGTTCTGACACACAGCAAGCCTGTATATGATTTCCAAGGAGTGGGTGGTAGACTTGAATTGCCAATCTTGTGGGTAACAGCTCATTGCTGGTCCTAACGTACCACATCAAGACTCCTAGATATTGAATATACATTATAAATTATATATATATATATAAAATAGATATTAAAACAAAATCAGACAAATATATAAATAGTTCTAATACTGTTTGTTGCTAACCCGATGGATCTTGTAATTTCTAAGAGGATACATACCAACTTTAGAGATCTAGCATATATAGTCAGTCTGGTAAGCCAGAAGAAAGTTCTGGTTTGATTTTTAAACACACATACTATACTGTCTTAAAGATATAATCATTTCTCTACATTTATAAAGTAAATTTTGATAATAGGCACTACTGATTTTAAAAGAAAGAAACAAAAAACACATTACTTTCTTCAGTAACAGTAGACTCAATGTTTCTATGACATTGTAGACTTTAAATTCTTGTTGTTATTTTTCTGTTAAGAATAAAAGCATCAAGTGGAAATAACAGCAAAGTCTAAATCAACTCAATGGCACTTAACAAGCAGGCATAATTTTATACAAATTAGTTCATTTAATGATCATAATAAACCAAAGAAGTAGGTTTTCCATGCTCTTGATCACTATTTATACTGGGGATCAGATGATTTACTCAAAAAGGACAAGACAGGAAGTATTTTCAGCTTGTTGTTATTATTGTTAAGTGTCACTGAGTCAGTTCCAACTGTATAGGGTTTCCGAGGAGCAGATGATGGGTTCGAACTGCTCACTTTGTGGTTCGCAGACCAGTGCACCACACCAGAAGTCCTTTCCAGCTTAGTAGGATATATGGTTTCTTTCTATTGTTAGAACTCTGTCCTTCTAAGCAAAAGTAGCCATCAATATTGTGTAAACAAATGAATGTTACTGTGCTCCAAAAGTCTTTTTTTTTTTTTAAACAAAAAATAGTCAGTAAGGAAAGAGACCCAGGATAAGCAGAACACTGCTTAAGAACAAGAAGATAGGTTGGAGGCCTGTCACTCCCCGACTTTAAAATATACTACATGGCGAAAGTGGTCAAAACAGCTTGATACTGGTACAATGAAAGGCACATAGATCAATGGAACAGAATCGAGAATCCAGAAATTAAAGCATCTACGTACAGCCAATT